AGCTGTGCCACTTTCATCCGCTCATCCTCCTCCACCATCGCTTTCACAGCAGCAATACTGTCCGCTGTAGTGCCCCCTACAGGTCGATCACATCGTATCGCATCATGAAGTGCCCACATGCCACGCTTGAATTCCGCAAACAACTCAAATAAAGTGTTTCTTGGAGGTGCATCATCACGAAAAGCAGTTCGCAGACAATCAACACTCTGCTGCTATTGCTTTAAACCACATTGGTAGTCATAGAAAATCATCGCCCTCCAGCAACAGACTGAGAATTTTCAAATGCAATCGAAACAATATGGGTTTCGAATCTTATTTTTATTCATTCTGGTTGGGCATTATTGAACAGAATACAAATCGATCGATATCTGTGGGTTTTGAACCGTCTGATCAGTGTTATTTGCGGTGAAACGGCAATGACTTGTTTATTTCTACATTTGCATTGATCTTATGTCACAAAGTCTATTGTCTGAAAGACATCATACTGGATTTTCATATGGATCTTGCTTATAGTTCCCACAATCTTGTCATTTAATGTCATCTGGTGTCCAGACTGAGAAAACCTGTTATCACGCTCAAACATAGTTTGTGAGAAATCAGATCCAGATTCTGTGCGAATTATGTGAAATCTGACTGATTTGTTCCTGATTCTACTATTTTTTTTTCTCTCTGATGCCATGAACTGATGGACACGCAACAGACAGTTACTATCTTTTCAACAGATTTGAATATGGGTGTGGTTTGTAGCTCAGGTTGACGGTTTGTGAGGTCTTGTATTCGCTGAGCTTGACGTTTAGATCGCAAACGTTTCATCACCAGCCGAGGTGACAACGTACTAACGATGTCACCTTGGCTGGTGATGAAATGTTTGCGATCTAAACGCCAAGCTCAGCGAACACAAGAACCCACAGACAGTTACTATGATTATTTATACTATCAAAGTTAACTGAGGTAAATCCGATATTTCATTTTAATTTGTATTATTAGATTACTATTATATATCTATTATTACATTATTATTTGGTGATAGGCAGCTGCTAGAGCACCGTCATGCCTACCAAAGACCAACGATCATTGTATTCTTAGACATTTGCGAGGCCTTCGACTCTGTCGATAGGACCACACCATGCAACTGCTTGTTGAGAAATAGAGTACCTGAGAAGTGTGTCGATCCTCAAAAATTTGTATCGTCATACCTCAGGTCGGGTTAGGGTCTATGGCCAGCTTTCGCGACCCTTCGCCGTCTCCAGTGGAGCTCGACAAGGCTGCCGTATATCCCCATTCCTTTTCAACTTTGTCATAGAGGATGTTCTACAGAACGCTTTGTCCGGTCTAGCAAACGGTAGAGTCAAACACCTCCCATGGCACAGAATTCTTCACTTAGAATAAGCCGCTGACATCGCCTTGCTGGAGGGCAATACACAGGTAGTCCAAGACGCTTGAACCGCTTGGCGATTGAGGTATGGTATGTTCTTTACACCTTCCAAGTGCAAAGTGCTTGTTCAAGACTGACAGGAGCCTGTGCCTGCACTCACCACCTGTGACAGTCAGCTAGAAGTAGTTGACAGCTTTAAGTACCTCGGGACCTTGATCGCAGCTGGTGTTGGTGTTGGGGAAGAGATCACATCACGAATGGCGAAAGCTAGAGCAGCTTTCACCAACCTGCGACACTTGTGACACCACCATGACATCCGAGTGTCCCTTAAAGGAACCGTCGCGGTTCGTAGCTTTCTGATTTACGGTTGCGAGACCTGGCCTCTCCGCGTTGAGGATCCTAATCAACTTTCTGTATTCGGCCACCGATGTCTCCGAAGCATTACTCGTGTCTGGTGGGAACATCGGGTGAACAATGACGAGGTCCGTCGTCGTGTGTTGGGTGTGGATAATAGTTCTCTAACGGAAGAAATCGTTCTACACCGTTTCCGATGGCTCGGTCATGTTTTGCATTTGCCTGCCCATCGACTATCTCGTCCTGCTCTCTTTGCACGTGCCACGCAAGGCTGGAAGAGGCTTCGCGGCGGTCAGACCATGACATGGCATAGAGGTGTGAAGAAAGTGGCCTCAGTATTGACTTTGGTTGGTGCAGCCCGACTTCCAGCTAGGAGCCTAAGGGATGAGAATTGTCGGTGGCTAGAGACGCGGAGAGATATGGCCCAGAACAAAAGTCGATGACGCGAATGCTGTATGATCTGCCTGTCGAAATCCCGTGCCCCGTAAAAAAACAAGAAACAACATAAAAACATTTGAAAAATTGTACAGCGAAATAGACACACAAAATTGTTATTCCATTTAATCGTGATCCTCCATTCTGATAGTTACATCTCTTTCCCTTTACTCTGTATCTCAACCTCGCACCCCCCGCGTTATTGTTATTGTTATTATTGTTGTGGCGTTGGCACCA